CCCCAAAACGTTCTGCTTGTGGGATCAAAGCGGCTGTTCCGCACGTTCAAGAGTGAAAAATCGGAACTCACAAGGTCAAGGGTTTTTTTACGCAAAAAATAAAACAAAAATCAAACAAAAAACAAAAACGAAAAGGCTAATCAATGAACAATCACGCCTTTTCCTCCGGCCTCCCCATGTGGAATCTTGTCAGGTCCGCTATGACACACATTTCAAGTTACAGCGGAAGACAAACGACTTTTTTACCCGAACTGAGAGCATTTGATGTACACACGAATAATGTCGAGGGAAAAAGCACAGTCATCTAAAACATGTCTTGAAATAAACCGGTCGGTAATTACGTCATAGACCGTTCAAAAGGCACAGATTGGAGAATAACTGGCTGGAAAATCGGAATTCGTTTAATCGTACAACGTATCTCTATACTTAGTACACTCAATCTTGTACTCATAATCCCATCCAAAGGTCGAACTTTTAATCGAATCAGACATGAAAAGTGTTTAATCGATCTGAGCCCCGGAAGCTGAGCGCTTGAGTGGGTGGTTATCTCTACCCAACCAAAAGCGTTTAAATGAGATAGTTGCAGAAATTTGTGAGTACATGTAGCGGGCGACACAACATATGGTGATCATAGATAGTTTTAATGCAATCCATATCGAGTCGATGCCAAAATACTATGCGTGTGGAATGTAGAATGGACTCACTCTGGATCTGAGCATTTTGATATTTATAACATTTAAAGTGCGACAAATTTGGTTTTATAACAATACATGAGTAATTTTTGTATTTTCTTTGTATTTTTGTTTTGCTTTCTTTCCTGTTTCTTCTCTTCTTTTGTGTCATTGTTTTTTTCTTTTTCGGAGATATTGTCTTTGACGTCTATAAAATCTTTATCTGAGGTTTAAAAAACGGTGATGTATGTGTTTTGATGCCCGGAAAAAACACTTCAATTCAGTTCTAGTGGCTTCCCACTAATTAACAATTAATTCTTGAAGAAGGTCAAAGCAAAACCTTTGCCAAATTTTTATGTTAGGATAGTTGCACGATGACGTCACTTCATTAGGACTACCAGAGTTCTGGGGGTAGGTGTGTGACGCCCAAGGTCTTTAACCCTGACCCTGAGACAAAAGAAAACTATCATGACACCCTATTTAAAGCTCAAACCTGAAAAATGAAACCCAATTCAAGGGGAAAAGAAAAACTAAAATTTAATGGAAACACACAAATCGTCATACATCGCGCGCTTCCTCATATGAATTTTAACAAATGATTTGCCGCGGTTTCTCTTGTAGCTGGGCATTAACGCAATTGCATTTTTGCTCATAAAAATATATAAGGGGTCGTATAATAACGGTGCTATATGAGGATCACGCAACGCCAACAAGGACGAAATCTATACCCTATTGCGACACATACCTATCTAGCCCATTTATGGGAGTAGCCCCCCTCCCCCCTTTCGGACCAGAGTCCTTCATGTTCGTCCCCCTTCTTGCGCAAATAGGCCACGTCCGAGTCACCCGGGGCCTCTGTGTCAAAACGAGGTTAAGTGCTTAGCCTTTGATAAGGAAATGATTTTTCATTCTCATGATTTTTCGTCATCATGAAAATGGTCTATTCATGCGGTTTCCTTTTCCCAAAACATGCGACAATCCACACAGATCAATTTTGATAATTAAACATTTGTACCGGGCTCCAAGGGATGAGGGAATAAATTAAAAAATCCATTCCTTAGCCTCAAAGATTATTTTTTTCTTCCCCCGAGCCTCGAAGCAAGGTAACATCGAAATATTGGTCTATCTTTTAAACAACTCTGACCTCTTCCGCAAAAAAGGCACATTGAAACTTAACTACAAAGGCATAAGCTGTTTATTTTATTATCAAAAAATTTCATATACAGTCGAAGCTCTTGTAAGCGACCACCTCGGGACCCGAGGGAACTCCCATGTAAAAATCACAGGGTTGCTCGTCGTCTCGCTTAGGAGTGTAAATTGCAGATTTTGCTCTCACTTTGGGTGTTTGGGATGGAAAGTAACTATATTTGCCCATTGGAAAGTAACTAAATTTACAAAAAATGTCCTGACACTGACCACATGGAAGTCTCCCTTAGGGGTCAGTTAAAGCTTGAGCCACACCCACATTCGTCTCCCTATGGGGTTTAATTTAAATTTCCAACAAGCTTCTCCGTCACTTTTACAAGGGAGTTCCTCCCCACCCCCAGGCCTCGGTATCGAAATTTGAAATAGTGGTCGTTACTTTAGAGCTGGTAGTTTAGGAGAATGAGCTCTCGTAAGCGACATCATGGTAAAACAATAGAGGGTGGTCTCTTACGAGAGCTTCAGAAACTCATTTATAATTCATAAAGAAAAAAACAAAAGAAATTAACAAGACTCTGAGTTGCGCATACGAGATCAGAACTTAAAAACAAAGAAAAAGTTCAGTTGGGTAATCTATTACAAAGTTGAAGTCACAGTTCAAACGGGGTTTCACATAGGCGGTCGTAAAATACAACTAGGGCCGGACGCCGGTCGCTGGTCGCCTACGAGAGTGGTCGTAAGGAGAGCTTCGGCTGTAATTTAATTGTAGCCTGAGACTAAAACAGCCGAAATTTCGTGACGCCACCACTGGTTGCCTCGCGAAATGACGTCAGAGGATTCCCGACTACCAAGTAGCGTTTATGATTGGTTGAAGCAAATTTCCCTCGAGACGCAACCGATGCGTCATGTTAGAAACGAGAAGAAACTGGGCCGTGTTAACTTTCGTGGCCTCTGTATTAAAACAAGGTTAAGTGGTCAGCCTTTGATATGGAAAGGATTTTTCATTCTCATGCAGATAAAACTCATTTTCAGGAGATCGGATATGCACTTGGCCTCACTGAAAGTGAGGGTTTTTGGAACTCAGACGTGGCCTATTCTAAGATGACTCCGACGCTTACTACAAAATTGCAAATTTTACCAACCCCACTGTCCCACAATTCCCGGACGGAGTGGAGTGACTGAGGGGAAAGGAGAAGGTTCTTGCTTTTGACTTTTGCTTTCACATTCTCGGCCCCCCTCCCCTCCCCTGCCCTTTTGGTGCTTGCCACGTAAGCTACTAACCTGAACAAGGTATACAGTACAACTCATTGCCAGATTGATTGTTCTAAAAAGAGCCTCATCTCTAATCATAAAGAAACAAAAAGGCATGTAGTTTGCCTAATGTCCTAAACAGAGTTCTAAATCAGGTCGAGGTTGTTGTCCACGTATTTTCTAAGATTCTTTTTTTATGTTTTTCAGCAGAATCAAGGCTTCAAACACTCAGCGGCGGGCGTATATTGAGTTAAGTAGCCCCACTCCACCCCCCCCAGCCCCTGCGCCCAGCAATCGCGCAAAAACGCGTGTACGAAAAGTGTGGATTTTTAGCTTCTTTAAGTGAAAATCGACATCTTTCTAAACAGGAGACTAATTCGCCACTGCATTAAGAAATTTTGTAAACTAGACAATAAAAAATACTAGTTACTAATCTTCTAAAAGTTAAAATCTGACCATAAAATCATCAAATGAATATCATTAATTTACATCCCGAATTGCCTAGTCCCCAGACCTCATTATTCCGCACGGCCAATGCGCTTCGGGTCACGTGGTCCGAGCGAAGACGTTTTCCGCCCGTTCGCCTCGGATACGTCACCGAAGTGAATTGACCGAGAAGGCCCGGGAAAACGCCATACAGGGATTAGGCAACATCCCCACGAAATCGTTCTGTTTGCATCTCACTCCTATCATGTTTAACCTACTTATCTGGACAGCCGTTCTGAGCTTATTTGTTTCTTTGTTTTTATTCTTTACGGTTTCTGACCTCACACTGAAGGCGGCTAAATTTAGAGAATGTACCGTTAAGTCTTTATAAATAGATTTTCCTGCTCTGTAACATGGCTTGGGAATGTGCCAGATTTAACATCAGAACTGAAATTTACTTTTCAGGTAGGCAGCCACGCGATTCAATTAAAGTATTAAATACAGTCAACTTTCTATATTCTTTCCACGACACACTTTTTTGTTGTACTGGGTTGTTCCATAATGTAGCAGTCTAGTTATGTTTCTAAACAGTACTTGGCTGTGTTTTTTTTCTGTGTTCCATTTTCCGCTGTACTCGCCGGGCACTAATGTGAACAAACCCTTTTCTCAAGAACTCACGCTAGAATTCCGTCGCACAAAAGTGGGTACCGGGTCACTGTGTGCACACCGTTTTTGTCAGTTCTAGGGCAGTCCACTACTTCAGTTTGTACTCGTTACTAAGCTCATGTCAAGTTTCATGACAGGGCGAAATGGAGTAACTATGAACACAGTCTCATAGCGAGTACTCAAAGTGTGAAAACAACACCATTTTGTGCCGGTACCCAGAAACTGGTTCCCGGGTACCAAGTGTGGACAGGCTCTTTCAACAATCCTCAAGCCTCCAATTGAGCGAACGCTCTTGTTTGAAAAAAACTTGAAGAGTGATCAGTGGAGTGCTGCTTCGAGGCAATTGTTCCTCGATGTTTTTTTCTGCGATCAAGGTTTTCTGCTGTACCAGGCAGTTCCGTAACTTGTGACTCTGTGGTAAACAACAGGCACAAATCGCAAAAGTACTTGAGGAGGATTTCATTTGGGACCTTTCGTCGTTCTGGAAATTTGCTGGCCATTACGAGACAGGAATGAAACCACGACTGAGCTCAAACTATTGCCCCATGTAAGGTAATCCGGAATCCGGAATCCAGGTAATTTTGGTCTGTGGAATCCGGAATCCACGGCTTTGGAATCCGGAATCCAGCTAATGGAATCCGGAATCCAAGCATTGTAATCCAGAATCCAGGTTGCTGGAATCCACTCTGTTGTGATGGTTCCAGGGCCTCTTCTTTTCCTTTAGCGACTCTTGCGTGAAAATCTCATGTCGCAAGGACGCACAACAGGCATGTTCACGCGTGTTTCACTCGACTGTTCCTATTGGTTTGGGCCACTGACTGCGATCCCAAGCAAAAGAGCTTTATGAATTCCATGCTAGCAGACAGGGCGAAGTACCCCTACCAAGTCCCTATTCGTGACTGCCCACACAACATCAAGTCAGTACGTTCTGCAGAGTTTTGGCATTGGATTGACATTGATGGATACCTAGTGAATCAAGTGAATATAAGGCTGCTTTTGGTGCTACGTAGAGAATACGAAGACATCAAGAAATCAGTTTCATTGAAAGCAGTTCGAAACAAAGATCGGATGGATGTAGAAACAGCAGTGGAGATTCACCGGAAAGCGATTCAAGATTCCATTCCAGATGAAAGAGTGAGCACAACATTAGTTCCAGAACTGGAATTCAAGCACTGGAAAAAGAACGGGGCCTCTCTTTTAAGCTACCCGGTAGGATTGGCATTCTCCCCAAAGCATAGCAGGCTGTTTATTACCGATAGACGTCTCCATGCAGTCTTCATGGTTGACATGCACTGTCCAGCAAATGTCACATTAATCGCTGGTGGTGGTGAGCCCGGGCACACTAATGGATATGGCAACAAGGCCAGATTTAGAAACCCAGCTGGTATTGCGGTGAAAGAGAGCGGGAAGCTGTACGTTTGTGACCAAGGAAACGGAAGAGTTAGAGTAGTCAATTTGCGAACGCTTTTCTGTCACGCTTCCCAGATTGTACAAGGGAGCGCCGAAGAAAGCCAAAGTGAGGAAGAAGATTGCGCCGGTAGACGTATCCGTAAAGTCCATGTACACGATCTTTCCCTTATTTCTGAAGGTAATGTACCGGATCTGGTGTCACCATTTGCCATATGTGCGTCTGCAAAGGGTAGCGTTGAACTGTTTGTGTCAGACGTTGGTCTTGGCAAGATTTTTTCAATTTCTGGTGTTGTAGACGATGAGGAAACTAACTGCGTCGGCCAGTTAAATGAATTGTTTTGTTTTGATCGATCTAGTTTATTAACTTCATTAGCCTTAACACGTGACGAGCAATACTTGTTAGTTGGAGACGGGAATGGTTCATGTATTCATCTTTGTCAAGTGAGAGGACGATTGAAACTGAGAACAATTTCGAATATTCCAGGCCTCATGGGTATTGCAGTGACAGATGGTGGAACAGTGTTCTTGTCCTCCATCAAAGAACACGCACTGTTCAGTTTGAAGGAAGAAGAGATGCTTGGGGGTAACGAAACCCTTACAAAAGTGTGTGGAGAAACTGCAGGCCATCGTGATGGTGTCCAAAGTCGATGGAACAAGCCTACTGCTTTATGCGTATATCGAAACACTGTTTTCGTATGCGGTACCGGTAACGTAGCAATAAGAATGTTGACGTCAGCAAAGGGACTGATCCCCCTGCAAAGTAAGATGGCCCAATAAGCAAACGTGTTCCGACTCGACAAGAAAGCCAAAGAAGAAGACCTATCACGTACATTTGAAGATCATGCGAAATCTGTCGAGGAGTTGGTTGCATTTCTCTCTAACCACGAACAGGAAGCCCTGGATAGGACGGGCAAGCGAAATACCAACGGTCCCGACATGACCATACCTCGATGCACCCGACAGTCCTTCCTCATAGTGCTAGAATCGCTGACCAGCCTTACCAACACGCTAACGGAGATTGGGCATAGTCACCTTCTGGACAGGATCTGTTTCGAAAGTATGACAACTTTGGGCGTGGAATGCTATTTCAAAGGAATGCGAGCAGACCACGACATGCCTACAGTGGCTAACTACGCTTACAGAAGAGCGCGCTGCGTGGAAGACGATATGCTGCGCATTTACCAGAAGGATTTCTCATATTTCACTGGGCCCAATTCATATTATCCGGAGAAAATTATCAAAGGTGAACCGCCAAACATCAAGACGCGACCAAACAAGCTGTCAGCAATCACTGAAGGAACAGGTAGCAAAGAAGAAGACACAAGGCGAGAAACTGTGATGCGAGAATTTGTTAAGGAGTATGGAAGAGGCGTAAGACAGGAAAATGTCCGCTCAAAAACGAAAGAGCTAACTGGCACCCTTCCTTATGCCCTTAGTATGTGTCCCACTACCATCACAGCCTCATCAGAGGAAAGCGAAGACGTAACAACAGCCTGCCAAGTTCTGGATGCTAATGTGGCATTGCGGAGTACGGCTGTACAGGTGCAAACCTTTTACCAGAAAGACGACATATTGGCAGTAAGACACAACCGTAGAAGAGAGATCTCACCCTTCTGGCTAGCAGTTCTTCTGGAGGATGTACAAATAGAAGTGAATGGTGGAAATTTTGTGCAGCAAAGAGTATCCCTAAAGTGGCTAAACCAAACAAGTGATTCACTAACATACACCTCCGGTGATGTCTGTAATGGGAATTCCCCCAAGTGCATTCTAACCCGAGTACTCGACTTTTCTTCCGATAGATCAGACATCATTTTAACAACAGAGGAGGATAACAGGCTCTGTCGAATTGCTAATGGGGACTACGGTGACGATGATGACAATGAGAATGAAACTGCACCACCAACTGCAGAGGATGAGGGAGAAGTATCCGTCCCGATAAGACTGCCGGGAGTTAGTTTATCAGGACGGAGAACGACACGGTTTATTCTAAGATAAACGTTTCCGTTGCCTGCGTAGCTTGTAGTATAGTAATTGGACTATCTTCACGCTATTTGTTGGTAAGCTGTAACTGAAGTTTTACATTCTGTGTGTCAAGATGTGTGGCAATTAAACAATTCGGAGACGAATTATGTTTGAACCTGAAAAGCACTGATTTTGGCAATGTGTACCTCTTTTGTTATTGTTGACGCCGTTGTTATTATTAAAATAAGAATAGCCCTTCCTCGTTAGTATTTCTTCAACGATGTGGACTCAGTGGACTTCAGAAACCGCTCCTATATTCATAATCCTCTCGGGTAAGGCTAAGAATTATATTTTATACTTATATTTTATATAAGACAATGTACACTTCGGGTAAAAAAAGAACAAGCTTTTTTAGTGAAAAGAAAGTACAAAGGAAACGTTGAAAACCAGAAAATAGAATTTTGAAATCTGGAATCCAGCCACTTATGGAATCCGGAATCCACAGGCATGGAATCCGGAATCCACAGCCTGGAATCCGGAATCCAAGACTCTCTTGGATTACCTTACATGGGGCGAAAACTAGGAAATAATATGTATCGAGTTCACGGGTGATGGGCGTTTCAGAGACAAAGCCGATGCTGTAACAGCCGAGTTCGAACTGTCGACGAGTCTGAATGCCTCCAAGAATTCATTAAAATCGATGTGTCCGTCTTTATCCATATCAATGCTTTTCGCCAAGTCTTCGATTGAGTCCAAAGGGATGTTTGAATTTGTGTGCTCGTTTAACAGACGACAGCACTCCTCAAATTCTTCCATCGACACTAAACCTGTAGGATAGATCATAGATACATTTAACAATTAATGAATGAGGCTGAGTATCTTATAAAGAATTAAAGTCACCCTCCGAGATCTCCACAATTTTTCATATGATACGAAAGCCGAATTCAATAATTGTTTTTTTTATTCATTCAGAATAATTCCTAGTTTAAAAACATAGCTAAAATAGCTTACCTCCATCGATGTTAAGTTCATCTTCGATAGTGGACGTTTAGGGTTGTTCAGCTCCGCAAACATTCTCCAAATAGCAGATGTCGCCCTTCGAGTTGTCTTCTTGCTGTTCTTGCCATGTTTTTAGCTATTATTTCGCCTAGTTCTTACTCTTGAAACTAGTGAAATGTCCGCCATTTTTGTTTTCACAACCAAAACAACTCAACCTCGTCCCCAGGTTTTCTCGGCTAACGGTGCATTAACCTGCAAGGAAGCTGCACCTTTGACGTCATCGGTTGATTAATCACAAACTTCTTCCAAATTTGGTCATGACTAGCTGGTTATGGTGAATTATGCGTGTGCTTTTAGCCAATCAGAATGGGGGAAATATTTTGAATGAACAATGAAAGGAATTAAAGGGACGGATCTAGTTCATTTTGTTCTGAACGCCAGTATTACGCTTCCTCATTCACTAAAGAACAAAGAACTGTTCGCGTCATGCATCGTACCTGAGTTATCTTTATCCATCATTCGGAATATTGTTTCCAAGTTGGATCTATTCCTATAAAGTGTTTCAGTGATACTTGGGCCATTCTACAAAGAGAGAAGAAAACAGAACTTTCATACATGTAACTAGACTGCTTGCAGTCCGCTTTTCTCTTCCGTACGTTGGCATGCTTCACACAATTCCGTGGGAGGGTTGCGTGAATCATGATTTGGCAACGGAAGGGGAACGTCAGCTGAGGGCGGGAAAGAGCGCGGAAAGGGACTAAACGCAACTTCCGGTGCCCAATTTGCTGCTCTGCCACTGATCACGCCAGTTGTTTGATTTGCACGCGCCGTTGTCAACTGACATTTCCGTTCTCTTCATAAGGGACGGACCATTAGAAAAGTTATGGGGGGGGAGGGGAATTTTCGAGCCGCAGGAATTTTTTTTCGTTATCAAATTCCTTGTATGAAGTTTTTTTAGGCCATAGCATGAATATTTTTTAGGGTTAATCGGCGTGCAAGAATTTTTTTTCATTTAATTTTCCCTTGCGCGAATTTTTTTTTTGTACTTCGCCCGCCCCCCCCCATAAGTTTTCTAATGGTCCGTCCCTAAATCAGCCCCATAGTGGTAACACCAAGCAGTTTAATGACAGGTGCAGATACGTTTGCAGCATTGTTAATTTATACTATCTTGCAATGTCTGCAAGTACCATTACAATATACTGCATGACGCAGTTCTAAGCCGAGCGCGAAAATGGGTGAGGCGATAGGGAACGAATCTCGCTTTTTAAAAAGCGCCCACGGGGTTTAATCGAAAAAATACCGTAATTCAAGCAAACTGTTCCTTGCCTTTTGTAGTCCTGTTTCAATGACATACTGATCCAGACACGAGAGATAATCCACTCTGCCGTCTGGGAGAACATGAGCAAGTTGATGTCTTAACATATTCCATGGTACGTCTAACTTCAACACGCTCTCTACTGCACTGCTCCACTGACCACCAGTAATGTAGCCTATAACAACAAGAATTATTAATCCACGCTTTCACTGAGGAGTCGAATAAGATGACAAGCTACGTAGTTCAGTTATCTTTTTGGTCTGTGTAAGAAATCTTATGGTGAGACCATTCAAGTAAAGCCTCTTGAGTACTACTTTGACATGGTACTACAGTATTTGCTTTGTACGTTCTCAAACTTCTGAGTTGATAGAGGAAACCCTATGGTGCGACCATTCAAATGAAACCTCTTCAACAGTTCTTTCACATGGTACTATTTGTTTTGAATGAAGTTCAAACTTTTGAGTCTGTGGATGAAATCCTATGGTGTTACCATTCAAATGAAACCTCTTCAGCAGTACTTTCACATGGTACTATTTGTTTTGTATATGTGGTTCTAACTTTCGAGTCTGTGGATGAAACTCATGGTCTGACCATTCAAATGAAACCTCTTCAGCAGTACTTTCACATGGTACAAAATGAAAGTTGCGAGTTTTGACGAATTTTGGTGCTTGGTGAAAAAACTTGACATAAAGCAAATACCAGTCATCCAAAAGTCTACTAAGGAAGATGAAAGCACGGGTAGCGCCCAAAAGCAATACTGTGAATTCGTACCTGTGTTTTCTTTGTCTCTTTCGAGAAATGCTGCCATTAACGCTGTTTTGTTCGCATATAATCTTTCTTTTAGCTCTCGTATAGCCGACTCTTCCACAATACCAACCCTAGAGAAAAAAAAAGACCATGAAAACCTGATTATCAAGATGTCACACTCATGTATCATGGTTCTATGAATTTTATCTCAAATTGAATGTAACACTGTAATCTGACGTAAGAAGTGGTTGTGTAAATAAATAAATAGATGAATAATAACATTCATAAATAATGGTTGTGAAAGAGAATTGGGCTAAGACTTTCTTCCTCGAAATGGGGGTGAGAGTCAAGGAAAGTTGGGGGGGGGGGTGCTTTTAAGACAAAGGAGGTTAAAGGATTAATGGTTTATGCTTTTTTCCTTTGATTTGATTTGTTCAATCCCTTGCCATGATAAAAATAATTCCTCTCTGTTGTAGTCAACGAGTGCGAACAAACCTTTGTTTAAGTGTAAGATGCTTCTTTGTCTTGGATACTTGGTATTGGACGAAGTAAGGCTTCATATCTGGTCCAATCTTCATGTACGCCCCTCTGTTGCTTCCCTGCTCATAGTAATTTGAGGCTGAAAATATTGTTATAACCTATTTGGAAAAATAAAAAGGAATTCTTTAAAACAGAATTGAAGAAATAACAGGAAAGCAAAACAGCTCTTTAGACAGCGACAGTTTATTGCATCCATTCATTCACCCAGTTCACTTATTTTGGCAAAGGAAGAAAAATATGAATGAATACAAAAATGATAAACTGGCAAGAAAGCCCAGAAGAAATCAAGAGGCTAATAAGGCTTGGGCTCCCTAGGTAGTCACAGAACTAATACGCGTCGGAGTGAACAGAAATCTGGCTCACTTTTATAACAGTCACATATCTCTCAACTGTCTTTGCTCCAAGCATTAATTATTATAATGAAACCTCTTCAGCAGTACTTTCACAAGGTACTATTTGTTTTGTCTGTATAGATCTAACTTTTGAATCTTAAGATGACATCTTATGGTGTGACCATTCAAATGAAACCTATTTAGCAATATTTAACAATTATTCCTCGAGCCTGAATGGGCTATTGACTTAGCCGCCAGGAGGGTGAGAGGAATAATAATTATTGTTTTAGTAAAATCCAACTAGTTGCTCTAAAATATTGAGACAAAACAACTTTAGCTAGCAAAACGCGATTCAGCCACCATTGTTTTGGTTTTTAAAGCCGGCACTTTTTGCTACTAGCGGGCTATAACATAAAGCCTAGTGGTAGCTCAACCAATCAGAGCACACCATTGATAATAGACCACGAGTTGGATTTTACTAATTTCACATAGCACTATTAGTTTTGCTTATAGTTCAAACTTTTTAGTCTGTGGATAAAATCCTATGGTGTGACCATTCAAATTAAACCTCTTCCACAGTACTTTCACATAGCACTATTTTTTCTGTATAATTTTTATGAAATGAAACTAGGTGTTTTTTCTGAATTTTTACTTGAGGTACTCTTGATGTCCCTTACCTTTTTTCCATGCATGTACTCATATCCTTCATATTTACACTCATGTGAGCGAACTAACAACTCCAGATCATGTTTCCTTAAGATGCGCTCAGTGATATCAGGTCCAAAGTAACAGCCACCTCCTCTGAAGGTATTGGGTCTGCAACCTGGTAATGGCTTTGGGTCACTCCAAAGAAGATCCAGTATCTGCACAAATAATAATATAATTATTATAATTAATATAATATTACGATTATTTTAATTAATTATTAATATTAATTATAAAATAACTAAGATAGTACGCACGTTCTGATTGGCCGAGAGGAGTGTTTGCATGAGAGTATGTAAACATGGTTGTGGCGTCAAGTTGTTTGGCTTTTCGTGCGCTAATCACGCAGACACAAATTTGAAAAAGTTTTCGAGTTCAAAACTCAACAAGTTTACTTTATTTACCCATTCCTTCGTTGGCTGAAACATGGAAAATCGCTACAAAGAAGGTGAGTCAATTTTTCTTCGCTTAAGTTGACATTTTAAGCGAGAAAAATCCATATTTTGCAAAGCATCTTTTTGCAAAACAAGAACTGATTACGCCTTCAAGACTTCGTGGACAAGATTTTGCAATAGGTAAGAATTTCTCTTTTAATCAGTGCCATACAAAGAGTTTTGCGTTTTTTTCTCGGGAAAGTTATTGTATAAAAGCAATAGAAAACTTTTTTCCTGTGTTTGCATAGCCTGATATAAACACTCGAGGCATTGGGCGAATTCTCGACGGTTATGCAAACCCTCAACTTCGTCTCGGGTTTGCATAACTGTCGCGAATTCTCCCAACTCCTCTCGTGTTTATATCAGGCTATGCAAACATGGAAAACGTTTTCTATTGCTTAACTATTGGTATTTTAATTATTATTCTTATTATGCAAACAACGATGAAATACCAGGTAAAGTTGCATGCAAAGACATGATATCTTCACATGTGCAAATAAAAAGTTATTTTTCTTGTGAAAAGATCACTGTTGCTATGGTTATGTAATAAATTGCTTCTTCCGCAGTAAAAAAATATTATAGCAAAATGATTTGGTATTCCATTGGTGTTTACATAATAGATAGAACATACCATGGTTGCTTGGAGATACAAAATTTCTTTTCTCGTGTTGAAAAGTATTTTACTTGTTTGCTGCCCTCACTCATGAAATATTTATCAACAAGTGATCGAAGAGAAAGTTCATATCTCCAAGTGACCATGTCACATCCTCTATCTATAAATATTCATAGAAATACATGCATCAAGATTATGTCAGGTGAATTCTTTTAGTTCAGTTGCTGTAAATGTAGCTCAGATACAACTCTTAAAAAATCGAGATTAATAAACTCAAATAATGGGCCATATTCTAAGGGAAATAGTACTGTTTGTTCTTCATGCATATTTGTTGATTTATTGTAGTACTCAAGTACTCTCTAAGTTAGTGCTGAAATACACTTCAATGTTCCTGGACACATTAAATTTTCCCTTAAGTAGTCAACCCTGACTTCCACAACATGGTGGTCTCTGAAATTCAATGTCTAACAAGGTATCAACATTTTTGTACCCAATGACACTGTGACATCTTATGGCAACAACAACAACAACAACAACAACAACAAAACAGAGTACACAAAATGGATTGAAACTTGCCTTATTTCAACTTCCAAAAGGTGACCCATTTGATTTCAACGTTATAATACAGTATTGTGGCAGTAAATTTAACAATAATAATAACAATAACAATAATAATTAATAATACAATACCTGTCTCCATTCCATGAGGTCGACCTTATCTGGGTTAGGCTTGACCATATTTGGTGGCTTCAAAACTGATACATACTAGTTAACACAAAACAAGAAAGAGATAGTGAGGCTGGAATTAAGTATAAGAAAATAAGAATAAGTAATCAATTTAATTTTTAGGAAAAACAATAGCATAAAGAAAATTTCCTGGATTTTCTATGAGGGATGCCCAGGAGGGGAGTACTCCAGGAGTGTTTGGTTTGCGTTAAGGTTGCTGGGCCCTGAAAAAGTCAAAATTCTTACTTTATGGCGATCAATCTTGTCGATAAAAGACAAATCTGTAATATTTGAGATTCCACCATGAGCGACAAGGATTTTTTTATTGACAACTGTAGCCAAGGGAAGCCAGCCAAAGATGTCTTCAAACAACTTCATGACTTTTGATGAATGGTCCTGCAACATAACAGAAAAATCAAACAATTTGAGGAAAAGAACCTGTAACTTCCCTTCACCAGGAGAGCAGCGTGACTGAGTGGTCTGCCTGTCAAACTTGCAGTCCAGCAACCCCAGATTCAAGTCCTGCCGTCAATTAACTGAACACTAGAGCAGAGCTCATACAAAAAATTGCAACCATTTTTCAAGGCCTTTTCAAGGACCACATTAGATTTTCAAGGGCCACCTACTAGGAGTATAATTTAAGAGATTGTACAAAAATGCACATTCCCAGTCTATTATTAATAAGACTTTAGGGCTTGAACTGTTTGCTTCACCAACTTCTCTACATTTTTCAGTTCACTTGTCTTAAACTGATAGTTAATTATTGAGTAAAACATAGAGCACTTTATGTAAATAACCTTTAAATTCTCCGAGCTATGATTTATATTCTTTTACAACCAAAAAGCATCAGAAAATTCTTTCCAGGCCACTATACGTTCAAAGTTGAAGAAAATTTCGAGAACTTTTCAAGGACTTGCACAGAAATTTAAGGACTTTTCAAGGACTTCCCCTAAAATTCAAGGACTTTTTAAGACTGTGCGAACCCTGAAGAGGGATTTGCTTCATGGTCATCTTGAATTCAAATCCTTGGCCACACTGATTACCTCTTGCCAGTTGGGGTTCTTTACCCTGTCCTGTTCTATAGTGCATTTGCTTGGGTTTTCTGGTTCCTTTTTTTCTTATTTGAGTGAAAAGCTATGCGCAATTCCACAATAAACAGAAATCTTTACCTACATGTTTTGTCCAACAAAAGGTGTAAGGTAAGGTGTAACAAAGTTTACCTTATATTTGCCAATCACTTCTTTCACAAATCCGTATCTATGAGATAAAAAGGAATAGATGATTTTAGAATTAATGCAGCATTATATGGAAAGGAATAAGGTGGATAGTCACTTTTCACTCTTGATAGTATAATTAATGGGTTCTACAGGTGTATGTACCTGAGATTCATGATATGGTCTTCATGGTTACCACGATTGATGTAGACTCCCGTCGGATACAGCAGAAAGAATGCAAATAGAATTATTGCAATTTCTACTGAGTGAGGTCCACGATCCACAATGTCACCATTAAAAATGTAAGGGTTTTCAGCTGATGGAAGTCCATTCTGAAAACAAAAGGAAACTAAACCAGTGATTATCTACTCAATTAAACAAATAAGAAATACAACTTCCTCAAAATAATGCAGAGGATGGAGTACACTGCGTAGAAATGGTGACCTTTACATTTGACTACAAACTATTATACTGTAAATGACCTAATAAACACTCACTTCCAAATAACGGCCTCTAATCGAATAAACGCCCCCCTCTAACACTGTTAAAACTGTATTAGACGCCCCTCTCTAGTGAATGCCTTGTGTCTATTAGACACCTCCTATGAGAATTACTCCAAAATACTAGGAATTAGCAAACAGGAACAAAAGCATTCAATTCATTCAGCTTCTTGCTTGCTTAACAAGGCTTTGCATAATTTCATCTTGTTCAATGTCATGTTCGAAGTAAGGATAGACTAACGATGGCAACACAATAACCCTGAGAGAGGATTCCGACATTGACTGATGTTGGGATTTGAAAGAGTGATATGGATCTCTAAACGGCCTATATCAATATCAATCAATTATTAATGGAGTGGATATTCCGCTACTTTAAATTCCCTTGATATTCTCTCCAAAAGCATATTAGTTTTGTTGAGCTTGTTACAGTTATGAGAATAAACGCCTCTCCCTTTTAAATGCCTCCTATCTATTAAATCCCTCTGCTTGGACCCCTAGAGTTAAATAGACACCCTGGGTGTTTAATAAGTCATTTATGGTACGGTATTGATCAAACTGTAAGTGATCTATTTTCCCAGAATTTTCACTTTTTTATAACCAACATTAGATCAACACATGAGAAGAACAAAAGGACAAAACACTGAAGCTGAACTGAAGGTATTGAACTGTATCCATCTTGAACTCATTATAACTCACGCTAGTGTGCTAAAAATATAGCTGGAAAATTGACTTTTTTCTTATATACCCACCCAGAACACTTTCACAAACTTAACAACAGACTTATTGCATTAAAAGGTATTAAAAAATATTTGTATCGAAATTAAAAAATGTTCAGTATTCTGTAATTTAAGAGGAGGGGAAGTATGATGTACACTGTACAAAGAAGTTACTGCAAAATTTGGGACAGTCAAAATACTGTCAGGCTGAGATTCACTTGCCTTGTGAAAAATCATGAAAAGGTCATCCAGTTTTCCATGGAGGTCACCTGCAAAAATGTGTTGATTAATTCTAAAGACTATAAGTCTGACATGTGAAATTCACACCAGCATTACAGTCAAAACAGGTCAAGAGTACCCCCCAAGATTCTATTAATGAATTGATTATTTGAAAAATGAATCCGTTAGTGGTTCCCGTAACTGGTGCAAATTCAAATCGGAATTACTGCATGCGTAATGAGCAGTGAATAATTTACGAGAACTTGTCTGTAATTGGTCAGACTGAAAATCTTTGAATGAATTAAAATTCTTTGAAAACATTTACATCAAATTCAGGGAAACTGAGCTGGTAGAAATTTCGTAAATGAATCGCATGTGAATTCACGGCTCATTACGCATGCAAGAATGTAGAGATGAATCTGAAATCTACAACTGCCAACGGACTCAACTTTCGAATAATAAATTCATTAATGGAATTTTGGGGGGTACGCTTGACCTGGCTTGACTGTAAATTTGAAATACATAACAATATCAGTTTTTCTATTACTTGTAACTCACCACAGATTGTAATTTGTTTTGTGATCCTAATGGTAGCTTTGGAGATATTTGGTAAAGCCATGAGCTTCTCTCTTGTTTCTCGAAGAATGAGGAGGGTGTACTTTAAATGTAGGGTCTGTTGAATTCAAAGCAGAGATAGGATTAGTGACTATCACATGTGATATCACAGTGCAGAGTATTGGTCAGGGAGTATGAAAATTCCTCCTTCCTAGTTGTGAGGAGGAATTTTCATACTTATTACTACAGAGCTAGTGACAACATTGATGTCTTCAGAAAGACAATTAAGGTTTAGCGTAAACAAAAAACAGCTATGCCATGTTGCAGAGAGGACTTAATGAACAAAGATTAGTTCTCTCTGAAGGAAGGAGGGAATTAATCAAAATTGACCTTGACCAGATCTTGCCGGGCGTATGGAAAAGCCGAAATCCGGAATCCGGAACCGAAGCTGAAAATGGAACCGGAACCGGAACCGGAACTTAAATTGAGACTGGGAAGCACTGAAACCAGTTCCCGATACCCGTGTGGGAATAAAATTCAAGATAGCATCCTCTGTTATCATTGTTTTGAGAAATTTTCAGCACAGTGATCGTGATACCAAAGGTATACTCACATTTGGAAAGTGACTTGCAAAAAAAAGGTAAGTGCATCCTACTGTTATTCCTAGCAGTCATAAACTGTGACTGCAGCTGTAGGTCGAGCAATTTTTGACAGATGGAGACTACAACTGATCAGAAGCCGATTGACTGCGAAAAACAGCCATTATTAGTACGTGATGTTTAAGACTGCTGTGTTATTCATTTCCTTCTCTTGAGCCTAAGTTACTCATTTCTTAACCCACTCGCTCCTGGAGATTTTGCCGAAAAACACGTTTTGAAGCTAGTCGAGTGGTTTTCTTGTCACTGTCGTGCTATAAAGAGCGAAAACTTACCACAAAGCGGTTTACAGGTCGTACACTTGGCGGCCTTCTGATCCAGATGCAAAATATCAGCTCGCGAAGTTCGGGCATGCGCAGCAAGCAAAATTTCGACATAGTTTTTGGGTTTAAAAGTGACACAGTAGTCTTGACTTTTACTTTTCGCTTTCTCTCCTCCCTTCTTTTTTCGCTTTTCTTGCCTCATTTTTTTTTCTCTTGCTGGGCATTTAGTAGGCTTCATTTTGGTGGGAAGAGTTTTTAGGAAAGCTTTTAGGATCTTAGGATTAGGTGAGAGGAAAGGTAGGTGGGTAATGGAACAAGATTTTCATGGAGATTTTCAGGTCCTTGTCGCGTGGTTTTTTGCTTCTTTCTCCGGTGTCCTTGACTGAATTGTGCTCATTCTGGTATGGTTTGAAAGATCTCTTCACTCTGCACAAGTTAGCGAAGAAAGTTGTCCTTGACCGTTAAAACTGATGACGTCACAAAGGGTAGAAAGGACCTGGATCCGCACGGGCGGTTTCAGGCGGTTCAAGGGCGAATGGGTTAAAAGGGCTCTGTGTTTCATCCATTGTGAGGAAAAGGCGGCAAAGGGAGGAGGAGTACTCATGTCGATCATGATCCCAAGTTGCAACACTCACGCGTATATGAAATTCTCAAAGAAAAATTTTGCCCCGTACGCAAAAAATGCGACAGTAAAAAATATAATAACAATAAATAAACATAATGTGGGGATGAAAAGTCTTGATCGAGCAATAATTGTTAGTGACACTCTTAAGACAGAAACGTCTCCAAGTTTTATTTCTTAGGTTCAGGTTCCGGTTCCAGTTCCGGTTCGGTTTCGGTTTCTGTTTCCGTTTCCATTTCCGTTTCCGTTTCCGTTCCCGGCTCCGGCTCCCGCTCCGGTTCCGGTTTTTCCATATACCCGATCTTGCCTTTGGCTTGATCAAAAACAGATCTGAGTAAGAGATTATCTCTAGCTTGGAGTGTGTTTAGTTTCTTTTCTGTGTGGCCCTTGAATGGAGAAAACCTTCATTTCAGGGCAGAAAGCAATGATCAACAAACCTGATTCACACAAGTAAGGATCAATTTGGATTTTGCACAAATTCTCCATCCTGAAGTGCCATACGAAATGTATTACAATGTAAGTACAGTGTGTGGAAAATGCAAGTTGATAGATGGAATTTAAGACTCAATTATACTAACCTTGTTTGCCTTGTAGTGTTCAATGATGTTCCGTACAGTAAGGAGTGTAAGCGGCAGTGATACATGTGGGCCTTGATATGAAGTTTCATCTACAGTTATCTTGGATGGATCAGTGAGTTGTACCAGTTTTTCAGACCTTTTGGAAGTTACCGATGATGCACTGGCTGGGAAAGATAAAAAGTGAGAGGGTCACCTTTGTGGACATTGTCATCCAGTTAATATAACTATAGCTCAGTTACATGTAAAGCTAGGACAGCTGATCTGTTGAAAGAGCCAGATACTGCGGTTTATAACCCTGTCTTCACACCACCAATTAACCAACCTGAGCGTGCAAAGAAAGTAGTGTCCGATAGCCCGGGGCTAGTGAATTTTGCTATCGGGCTAGTGAATTTTGTTATTAACTTGCCCGATGGTCAAGTGAAGTTTTTTGAGGAATTCAAATTACAGAAGAACTGTGAAATCAATCTGCTCATCAACACGTTTTTGAGGCTAGTTGAAATGATGTTTGGGTTAGTAAATGTTAGCTTCTGCTTGCCCGAATGGCAAGCTGTAAAAATGACTTTCTTTGCACCCTGTCTTTAAGGCAGTGACAAGGGTTTTAGTCAGTGACTTCAAACCATTGGCCAGGTTGTCTCCTTCATACATGTACCTTCCATATTTAATGGGACGTGATAAGTCACCTTATATTGGACAGGTTGAAAATGAGCAGGGAATCCAGACCCCAAAGATGCAGTCCACCTTTCCTGCATTGTGCAAAGTTGGGGCTCAGTGTACTAGCCTCCCCGGCATTCTTGGCCACGAGTCAATTATAACATTATTATTACGTTTGCCTGGAATAAATTTTTCTGCACTATTTACACAGTACAAAGTAACTCTGTCACAAGACAATGAACCTGTTGGTGTGCTTTGTTACAAATTTCTCATTACAGCATAAACTCAATTGCTTGATTCTGTAACGTGGACTAATCCCATACTGTCCAAGTTATATGTACAGTAACTTTACCACTATGTCACCTTAAACCTCTTGATGACCTGAAAAAATTTCCTTTTACCAACAGAGGGGTTAAAAAATTGTGATAGACTGTATGATTTTATATTTTGATTAATAAATAGATAGCCTTTCCACTACTAGGAAAGTTGGCCACATACTTGCAGAACCATTTCGCATGTTTCCTACAGCTTTGTTCTCTCCTGTAACAAAAGAAGTTAATATATAATATAGTAACTGTTAGAGAACAACAAACATAAAAAAGTTACAGAAAAGGATCAATAATGATGGCAATAGTTTGAATATTTTCTATATTATTAGCTTACCATCACCAACATGGGTAAGCACATCATTGAAGAAGTTAAAAAGCTGCAAAACAAAAAAATAAAACAGATAATTTTGTTTGGCTTAAGTTGATTGAGAAAATATTGTTTTCCAAGTTTTTCTAGGAAGCAGCTATTAACAGTTATATGAGAGAACTGAATTCTCATGCCAGTAATACTGAAAGAATCAATTTAGAAATAAATTTTAAAACTCCTTCTTTTTCTATATATATTCCATGCATGAATCATGTTAGGACAGAATCCATTAAGATGAGCAATCTTAATTTTCAGTGGACAAAAACCTTGTACTAGAATAATTTCAAGCATATTGCATTCCCTTTTTTACACTTTTTGAGGGCAGTAAATGTAATCAGTTATATGAAATAACTCCTAATTTCACTCAACATCATTATTACACTGAATACTCAGGGCAGGTTTTCATATAATCATTAATCAGATGTGATTGCTGAATGCTGATGTTGGGATACAGTTTTTTTTATTAAGAGTGTTTATGCATGAGAAGGTTGAGCATGATTGTCCGGGTGAACGTACATGTAGTCGTGAATAGGACTGTTGTTGACGGTGACTGACGTTTTGACAACCTCAGTGCGGTAGTCATGTCCAGAGTTAACGTGACAACTAGTTGTATCATATCAGTTGATGTTGACGTCAGTCAATGTCAACAACAGTCCCATTCAGAACTATACATTCACCTGGACGATGCTCAACGTACTTATACAATGATTCCTGGGTTCAAACCTTCCCAGTGTATATGCAGTTTATAATATACCAGTACATTCTTGTAAATTCCTTATGGTTTTATGAAATAATTTTTTCAGGGTATATATTGAAATAAAAGAGGAAACTTTAAAATTTATATTCTATTTTGCCTTGGAAAACCTGCATGAAAATCTTATACTTTTATTCGTAAAATAATAATTACGTTGGCATTATTATAAATAAAAAACCAAGCACCTGTCAAGCTAGACATGGCAGCGACTTCATAAATAACTAATAACAGGGGAAATTTGAGCACTTTGGGAGACTGATAGAAATGTGTGAACGGCTGGCTTCTTGCCTTCAGTCTGTTTTCTCTTTATAATCACCAACCTTAATTTTTGACTTATTTTGAGTTATTTAGGAAACATTAAATCTGCCAAAATTTTGTGAATTTTACCAAACGTATTGCAGTATTATGGTAATTTGTACCCCCCATATGGTCAAAACAGACAACAATAATTATTTAAAACTGTAAACAGACAAGTTATAAGACTTGAGCTTATTAATAGAAAAATCGCTACCATATTTTCAAAACAAAATAATCAATTGAGTTGGTTAACAGAAAATATTAACATATTTGAGTTTTTTAAGTGTTTAGTTTATATAAACTAGCCCAAATGGGATTTCAAAATATAAGCACGAAATAAAGTTTACTAACCATGTTTTATTAACATGTATAGAACCTGGAGCCTAAAAGCTGTTAATCGAATTTTACACTTTCGCATGACAGGGTTTTAATATTATTGAAGCCAGCGAATTTGCACCTCAAAACAGGAAGACTAACGATTAAATTGGTGGATTTGACGAGATTCGATGTGTAAAACAAATTTTTCCCGAAGCCATGAATTGGAGTTTAAAAAATTCAAAGCGGGAAATGTCGATTTCATTCAAAAACACTACAGATTTTAGAGTGTTATACTCACGATGAACGGAAACAATATTTTCTCGAAGTGGAAAGTAATTATTGGAGTAGAACAAAGATGACAATATAATTTAAAAGATAAGTGTTACCTTCAATTGATCCTGTTCCCCAGCGTATTCAACGCTTTGAAAGATTTTCCAAGTGCATCTCCGTCGAGCTTCAAGACGAGCTCGGTACCGTCTGAACCAGTTTTGTATTAAAATTGCTGACCGTATGGCTGTAAAACAAACGAGACTTACGTAGAAAAAAGCATGAATCGACAAGAGTATCTATGCAAATAAATCATGTAAGTTAAGAGAACTTCCTTAATCCTCTTCAACTTGGGGTTTTCAAATATTGCTTGTAGATAATGCTGTTTTAATCGTTTACTGTATCAATTTTATGGACGATTCAAAACGAGTACGTAATAAACGAAAACAAATGAGCGAATTCATGAAATTGAGTATTGAAATCGGGCTAAGTTAGCTCGTCAGCTGGCTTATATCGCTCGAAATTTGTTTATAATTGCAACTGATAAAAACATATTCTCTGCAAACTTAACTCACCTTTTTCGGACTTTCCAAGAGCCGAACTTTGAGGGTTTTCCTCTCCGTCTTCAACTGATGCATTACAGCCCATGTTTTGGTTTCGTTCGTTTCAAATATCTTGGTTAATCTTCACTTAGTACTACGCGATTTCTTTCCAGTCCGTTACTAAGATAGCCTCCATTATGACAAACAATGGAAGCGTGGAAAAGACTCATAAACATTGCTCTGACACCGGTCATTGCTCGTTGCAAGGAAGTTACTCAAAATGGAGGCCCATGTTTGCTGCACACGCGTTTGGCGGGAACACGGAACGCGCGTAAACATTCCAAGCGAAGAACGCGAAACGGACACCTTAAATTATTAGAAATCAGCAAGCCAAGCGATCAATAAAACATCTCGATTTACAGATGTTCGGGCCGGCACTGAACGCACAGTCTCTAATAAACTTGCCTCTTAGATATTGAACAGTCTTTGCGCGAACTGTCACTAAGCAAACTTTCTTGCGGATCCTGTCAATTTTCGAACCAATGCCCGCGATTCGAAAAAGACCGGGGGCCTGAAACTGAACTACCCGCTAAAATGCGAAATATGAGCGATGTCCACGTCAAAAATCAGCCGAATTGTACGATTTTGCGTTCCGTACTCAATTTTCCTTGATCTTTATAAGCGATGTATGTACAAAACGCTCTCGGTAATTTTAATTTAAACCCCTCACATGGGGTACTTTGAAATTATCATTCATGTTGTTGCCAAGGAACGGTTTAAAAGCTGACTCACATAAAACCCTTTTAATGAAAAGTGACGGATTTTAATAATTGTGACATGAGGGAAAAGAAAATTATATAAAAAGGGAATTATCTCCATAAAATGCCCTTCAATGAGAGAAGTAAAAAGATTTAAGCATTTAGTTTTTTTTCCTGTTTACTAGTCCAGAGTGCGTTTCTTAGATACCAAAACAGTCAAAATTATGAATAAAAAGATAAAACAAACCTAGAGTTTTAGTTCGTTTACATACTAGACCAAAGTCGTCGACGAATGCAAATTCTATCTAAGCACTAAATACACAGATCTTAATGTAAAATCTTGGAGAAACTGAAAAATGCCATCTGCAGAATACAATAGCAATTAAAATTTAAAAAGGTATGATTGTCTCACAGGATCCGCTCCGTTGGACGAAAGTTATTTCGATGAACCTCGTAATGGCTTGGGTTAATTTTCGTTCGCCAGTTCAATACAACTATAATTTCATTAACGCGAATGAATGTTTATTCGCTTTATTTATTTGTGACGAATAAACAAAGCTTTTTTAAATACCAAATGAAAATCTAATATCACACATCTCCTCAGTAGAATTTACAAGTACACACCGAAAAGCCGGCAAAAAGTTTAAATTGAAACGCGGGCATCAGTTGTTTTATTATCAATATATATTAACAGCAAGGAGCGCGAATTAAAATAGATCATACCTATGTGACAGGGGAATGTGAAGTTTTTATTGTAGAACAAATTCGATTTTTGAGCCAAGATCTTTCGGTCATTTTAAACAGTGTTTATAGAAAAGATTAACGTCAAATTTGACACAAAGGTGAATCGTCCACACAAACCCCACCCCAGTCCTTGGTACGAAGACATAACGGTGTTCAGTTAAAGGTAATTACACTGCTAATCGCTCGCATGCATGCGGTCAACCCTCTTTTGAAAGAGCAAGTAAATCGAGACAAGTAAATCGAGACTGCAAATAAGCAAACTATGACCATGTCAAATAAATCAGGCCTTTATGAGTCACAAATAAAACCCTCATCTTGTGCACCTCTAGGCTCATGCTCTTTCTAGGTCTACCACGTGCTTTATGGTCCTTTACCAATACTAACAACGTCAATAGCCAGAGGAAGGCACGCTGTCTAAGCGCAGGTTGATCCCACGACACACGAACTATTGGCGTTGTCCGGCTACCTGTAACCTGCAGAACAGGCGATTTTTCAGGAGAGCGAAGGCAAGCGCGAAGCGAGCGAGGAGCGCCAGACAAGCGTGGCGGGGGAAGTCAGTCTTCACTCGTCTGAAAAACGCAAAAGAAAATAAATACAGTAAATAAATAAAATAACGCCTGTCCTGCAGACCATTACTATATTCCCGTCATAAGTTCCACATTAACCATTCTCTACTTGTCCCTGAAATTACTTCGTTCCTGATCTTGTCCTGTCATGATTTTCCGCCTGTTTCCCGCAGGAATTTGCCTTCGCGGGTTGTTAACTCCCTGATATGTTGGTCCAGGAGGGGCCATAAGGACGATAGCTTATGGGGAGTGAGTGAAAACGACAGTGATAAGTTGCTTGTTAACTTCCAGGGGAATGAGCAAAGAAGCCTACAGCTTCAAGTCCCTTTCCCAACCAGCGGGCATATGCAGTGGATACGACCACAGCCATAACAGGCCATACAATTCTGGCCCATTTAACAATCTAAGGTTTATGCAAAGAAAATGACTGGGTGGTTTTAAATTCTGGACAAAGGATATCTTTTCCACAGCTCCTCCGTGGCCTGCAAAGTGTAGACGTACTTAGATGTGCTTTTATCCTTTCTGTACACCCCAACCATGACATAAGTGAGACAAGTCCAAGAAAAAGGATAACACGCACGCACGCATTACGAGTGGAGCCTCGTGGAGTGGGATTCTCGCGCTCTAGCATTGGGGGAATGGAGGGGAGGGGGACAGAAATGTGGCAGAAGGGACATACTGTAGTCTAGCAAACGACGTCATGGGCCCCTAAAGTCAAGCAGTGACAGCAGTATGACGGGAAGTTAACGCTTGTGTTAATAAGCGGTATTTGAAACAAAATGCGGAAAATATTGAAATCTGTACATTTCTAGAGTTCTTCACAGTTTGACTGATACTGGCGGAAATCAACCCTAATAATTGTAATTGTAAATTGTAATTGTAAATAATTGTAATTGTAATTATCTTATTATCCACTCCCCTCAGGGCTTTTCAGGGATAATTTACAACACTGGTTGAGGGACTTCGCCAGACTGCTTAAGGTGCAGTTTACAAGTACTAAAGGAATGAGTGATGATGCCCCCATATATGAATGTGAAAGTGAGATAGACCACTACACCGGGCACTACGTGCCCTACTCTTTACGAAGAGTGTGTGGGTTCTTTAACGCCCCACAGATTTATTACATGTGCAAGGGCTTGTGAGACGGGGCCTACGGTTTATCGTCCTTATCCGAGAAGACTAGAAAGTCTAACCATTTGCAGATGTTATTACAAAGGCAGCACTTTCCCCTCAGTTATTTAAAGACCCTGAGTGTTGGTCCGCCGGGGTTTAAACCTACGGCCTCCCGCTCAGCAGACCGGTGCTCTCCCAACTGAGCTAACCGGGCGGCGGTTAATCTAGGTGTCAAGAATGTCGGGAGTTGTAACGAGAATTTGGGGCCAAAATAACGGACATTAAAGTCGCAGAAATTACCATAAAAAAAATTAAATTGACACGAACTACAGTTTCAAGAAGGGTTAATTTCCTATAATAAGGTATCACACGAAAGCTGAGCGTACAAGGTAACAACGTATGGGATCTGGTAGAGATCGAGGTCTATCCGAAAAAAAGGGGATTGACTATAAATAATGCATAAGGTCCCCCTTGCTTTATTTCTTCGAGAGAAGCGGGAGACAAAAGAATATGACAACGCTTTGGACAGTACGTGCCGTAAATTTTTCCTGAATATGTGCCACTGGCCTCTCAGAGCCCCTACCCCCATTATGTATAATCCATTATGTGGCCACATTACAGACCACATCTTAGTCACTTGTGGAAAAAAATAATTTTTGGAATCCCAACCTAGTCACTTTTTCCTTATTCATCTACCTTATAGAGCCTAAAACTACATCCTAAAAGGAACTACCACATTTTTGTTAAACTTCAAGATGAGGCGTAAATCTTTCTATATTTAACTCCCTACATACTTCAATTTTCTGACCCCCAAAGTCCTGAAAATGTGCGATCCCGTTCTAGTACCTCTTAAAAAAAGGTGATCCCATAATAATTAATCAATTCGTGAAAATGCGACCCCATCAAGTGGCACATAACCCATAGATGACTAGAGATCCCTAGAGATGACTAGGGATGACTAGGGATGACTAGGGATGCATGACTGGGATGACTGGGATGCCTAGGAATGACTAGGGATCCATGACTGGGATCACTAGGGATGACTAGGGTTGACTGGGATAACTAGGGATGAATAGGAATGACTAGGGATGACTGGGATGACTAGGGATGACTAGGGATGACTAGGGATGATTAGGGATGACTAGGGATGACTAGGGATGACTAGGGATGCATGACTGGGATGACTGGGATGCCTAGGAATGACTACGGATCCATGACTGGGATCACTAGGGATGACTAGGGATGACTGGGATAACTAGGGATGAATAGGAATGACTGGGATGACTGGGATGACTAGGGATGACTAGGGATGACTGAGATCACTAGGAATGACTAGGGATGACTGGGATGACTAGGGATGACTAGGGATGACTAGGGATGACTGGGATGACTGGGATGACTAGGGATGACTAGGGATGACAGGGATGACTGGGATGACTAGGGATGACTAGGGATGACTAGAGTTGACTGGGATGAGTAGGGATGACTGGGATGACTAGGGATGGGATGACTAGGGATGACTTGGGATGACTAGGGATGACAAGGGATGACTAGCATGACTAGGGATGGGATGAAAAGGGATGACTGGGAAGACTAGGGATGACTAGGGATGACTGGGATGACTAGAGATGACTAGGGATGACTAACGATGACAAAGATGACTTGGGATGACTAGAGATGACTAGGGATGACTGGGATGACTGGGATGACTAATATGACTAGAGATGACTGGGGATGAATGGGATGACTAGGGATGACTGGGATGACTAGGGATGACTGGGATGACTAGGGATGACTAGGGATGACTAGGGATGACTGGGATGACTAGGGATGACTAGGGATGACTGGGATGACTAGGGATGACTAGGGATGACTGGGATGACTAGGGATGACTAGGGATGACTAGGGATGACTAGGGATGACTAGGATGACTAGAGATGACTAGGGATGACTAGGGATGACTGGGATGACTAGGGATGACTAGGGATGACTAGGGATAACTAGGGATGACTGGGATAACCAGGGATGACTAGGGATGAGTAGGATGACTAGGGATGATTAGGGATGACTGGGATGACTAGGGATGACTAGGGATGACTAGGGATGACTAGGGAGGACTGAGATGAGTACGGATGACTAGGGATGACTGGGAGAACTAAGGTAGACTAGGGATGACTGGGATGACTAGGGATGGCTCGGGATGACTAGGGATGACTAGGGATGACTGGGATAACCAGGGATGACTAGGGATGACTAGGATGACTAGGGATGATTAGGGATGACTGGGATGACTAGGGATGACTAGGGATGACTAGGGATGACTAGGGATGACTGGGATGACTAGGGATGACTAGGGATGACTAGGGATGACTAGGGATGACTGGGATGACTAGGGATGACTAGGGATGACTGGGATGACTAGGGATGACTGGGATGACTAGGGATGACTAGGGATGACTAGGGATGACTGGGATGACTAGGGATGACTAGGGATGACTAGGGATGACTAGGGATGACTGGGATGACTGGG